TGAGACCGTGTTCCCCCTCGGAGGAGCTCTTAAAACGGGGTGAAGAATGTGGCGGGGTGTGCAGGCCGCCTCACGCCCACCCCGGGGTTCTCATAGCGGCCCGGCTTGTTTTTGGACCTAATTAGTGGCTGCTGGCAGTTTGAAAACAGATGTTTAAAATCCTGCTAAAGATTTTTCACTTCAAACAGCGGGGAGGGAAGTGGAGGGAGATTCGCCCTTCCTTCCCTCCCTCGGTGCCTCAGCTCCAGCCCAGTCCTGCAGCTGATTACAGGAATGATCCACCGATGGGACGGCTCTAATATGTGTGTAACAAAAGGTATAACATGTAAATAATAGCAAAGAGGGTTTACGAGGGGTTTTAGAAGGTGTGATTTTTCTTTCTGACTGGGCGGTTTTGTGTCCATGGACCTTGTGTGACTACAGACTGTAAAAATGATACATATTTACACATTAGGGGTCAAGTATATATCAGCCACACAAACTTAGCTACAGATATTTTGCCAATACCAATATATAGCTATCGACCAATTTTCATGTTCAGTTTTCTGTACATAAAGCAAAACATTGTTGGATTAATTTAGCTCTGTAAAATGATTCTGGTCACAATGAACTACACAGGACATTTCATTTCAGTAAAATCACATGAAATATGCGTCCGTATCTTTTATCAGCAGATTATAACAACAATTGATGACATAACATCTAACATTTTCTTTCTTTTTTTCTAAAACAGATATTTTTTATTTGTCCAAAAGTTTTTTCCTCCAGCTACAATCTTCAACATGTTTTGTTGGCAGGGTGAAACTTGCTTGGTTTGGCACTAAAATCAGCTTTTTAAAGGTGTTCTGTGTAATTTTTACAGTTGCTCCAAAAGAAAAAACATGTTAACCAATCACAATTTTTTTAAAGAATATTTACCACCACCATGTTTTTGAATTGTTTTCATAGGCTTAGAATTTGACTTATAAATGTCCATGAGAGCTGAGGACTCTCCATGAGAATGCGCTATATTGAAATACAGTGGTTCATAAGGGACAAAAAGGAGTTTGACCAGGAGTTGGGGACCACTGTCAAAGACGACATATTGTCCTGCGAAGCCACCGTAGTACAATAAATTACAACATATGATCTCATTGCTAGATGGGAGTAAAAACTACACAGTATACCTTTAAAAAACTACTTGGTGAAGGGAACATTTTTATCCTCTCAAATGAACTATTGATTTTTTGTGTTAAAATTTGCATCAGGCATTTAGTAAAGTTAAACGTTGGGAGAGTATATTCTTACAAATGTAAACAACATTATGTTTATCTGTCAAATACATAGGATGAGATAGACTTTATTGATCTCACACTGGAGAAATGTAAACACACATAACATACTTTAGATCTGTGTTCTCTCAGTAGAAAGAACAAGTATGTCAAGTTTCCATTTGGTCACGGGGTCAAACTCCTTTTGGGACTGGTCAGGGGCCGAAAGAATAGAATAGATTCCTTGTTTTTTACTTTATAGATATTCAGACATCAATTTGACATGAGTTTCACTGTTATCTCCTGGTCAATTTTTCTGAATTTTTTTGTTTGGATTTAACCAAAACTGGACCAAATATGAAGATAAACACATTGTTTTAGATCTAACTATTTCACTTAAATTGATGTGTTGGGTTAAGGTTATAAAAAAAAAAGGCTATTTGAAAACACATGATAATTTGATCACTTTTGGGGCTTAGGGACGTCTGGATAAATCATTGACTGCATCTTTAACTTTTGCAGCCAGTTGCTCGTCCTGAGGTTGTACAGCTACCCCAACAGACAACCCCCGACCAGAACAGGACTAGCTACAACAGACTGATAAATGATGTAGAGGATGTGGCTGCTCACATCAAAGACCGGAGCCTTCAAGAACTGAGCTCTCTCTCTCTCTCTCTGAGAACTATTTGCATGATCTAGATTATGATCAAGGTGGATTCCCAAATTTACTGTACGCATTAACAGCGTCCTGTCCATTCCTGTCAAAGTACTTTATAATTTCTTTGGTCTTTGATGTTGTATTAATGAGTTTTATATGTTGAATTTACACAATAATACAAAAGAAATTTACTGTATATAGATTTCAACGATAACTTCAAAAAATCATCTCCAGTTAATGAAATGAAAATTCAACAATCAAATTGAATTGGAGTCACGTATTGTATTGATTCTAGCTCTGTTGTGATTAAACTGCGTCGTGTCAGGCATTGAAAATAGAGAAGACAAATACATCCATCCACTCATTTTCTTTCGCTTTATCCGTTGCCGGGTCTCGGGGACAGCAGTCTAGGCACAGACGCCCAGACTTCCTCATCCACACACACTTCCTCCAGCTCATCAGGGGGAATCCTGAGGTGTTCCCATGGCCAGCTGAGAGACACAGTCCCTTCAACGTGTGCTCTCCTGGTCTCCCTCAGCTCGACTCTGAGCTCCTCTTGTGAGACTGAGCTCCTGGACTTATCTCTAAGGGAGCTCTCAGCCACTCGGCGGAGGACAGTCATTTCAAACGCTTGTAGCCACAATCTCGTCTTTTCGGTAAATACCCAAAGCTCTATAGGTGAAGGGGGGTGGGGGACGTAGAGTGACCGGTAAATTGAGAGCTTTGCCTTTCCACTCAGCTCCCTCTTCACCTCAACAATCTGATAAGAGCTCTGATTGCAGACGCTGCTCCTTCCTTACCCCAACAGTCCCATACAACGGCTACACCGATCCATATGTAAAGACATGGCAGCACGGTGGCTGAGTGGATAGCACTCTTGCCTCTCAGCAAGAAGGTCCTGTGTTCGAATCCTGGTCGGAACAGGGCCTTTCTGAGGTGAGTTTGCATTTTCTCACCGTGTCTGTGTAGGTTTCCTCTGGGTGCTCCGGTTTCCCCTACTACTAAAAACATGCACAATAGGTATGGATGTAAATGAGAGAGTGGATGGATTATGTTGATTGGAGCTGATGGTCCAGTGTGTTCGGCGACTCGTTTCCGTCATCACTGTGTGTGGAATGATTGGAACAATATCTGAATGCTAAAGCGCTTTGGGTGACCTTGGTCTGTAAAATGTGCTACATGTATATAAATTAAACATTACATTACTTACTTACCTACAAATCCTTACGTTCATTCTGGGACAGCCTGACCGACAGATACCTTTAGATCCAGAGAGTCCATTCAGGAAAAAACATGTAGTGCAGCTTTACAAAACTTACAGCCACCACAGCCCTGAAGCAGCTCTGAAACTCAATACCAGTTGAACTTCTAACCATAGTTGAGTGGGAAAATATGTGTCACAAATCAATAAAAAAAAACACGCATAGCATTTATGAAATAGTTTGTGTTGCTTGTGCTTGTCCCGTCACGAAGGAAATCTTTGACACTATATTGTTCACGCAAAACAATTATCTTATAAATCACAGTTTTTCTTTTTACAAACCGTTCTCACTCCACTCTCAATCTTATATTATTTTTAGCTCCCAAGCTGTTTGTTTTCACTACTCCAAGCCAAAACACACGGTAGTCAGTATTAAGTTGGAGTTGACATGATGTTTAGTTGCTTCTGACACGTTGGTTTTGACAGTAAATCTTTCTTCAAGTGTAAGAGTTATTTTCTCCAGTCATTTTGTTGGGAGCGCACCTCAAAACAAATAGCTGGTTTCCAGTTGGGAGGGCTGTGTTGGGTCCTGCCTGTGGCGGAGACAGGTGGCGACAGTGCACGAGCTGCTGCGTAGAGCTGCAAGATGCATCTCGCTGCAGTAATTACATTTTACTAGAACCTGCCCTGAGGCACTGATACAATACATGTCACGGTAAGGAAACAGGAACTTGTCCAATTTTCACCCATTTCTCCGGGAAAAACACACACTTCTTCAAAATAATAGAAGGAATTTATTTTATTATCTATATTTGTGTGTATGAGGGCCCCCCCCTTTTGGGGAGGCGTTTGGGGGGGCGTATGTGGACCTGGGTGCTCGCTCTGACTCCTCACATACATACACGTAAACCCCCCCTGACGCCAGAAATGGATAAAGGGGAGAAAATGGATGGATGGATGGATCTATATTTTTGCATAGAAAATATAGATAACTTGTAACTGCTTTGAAAAGAGGTTGGATGAAGCCGATGCTTATTGGATTCCAAAACCCCCCATTACAAATACCGCACACGCACAACACTCACACTCTCCTTTCAACAATATCATTGTCCGTAGAATATTCTCAACATACAACTGTATGTGGATAGCTGCATCATCGTGCTCCTCATGCAAGAAAGGATCCTGGGTTCGAAATCCTGGTCGGAACATGTTTTCCCTGTGTCTGCGTAGGTTTCCTCCGGAGCTCCGGTTTTCCCTACACTATACTAGGTATGGGGGGATCTGTAAACATGGAGAAGAGATGGTGTTGATTTGGGGGCTTGATGGGACCAGTGTGTTCGGGTGACTTAAAAAAACGCTTCCATCATCACTGTGTTGTGGATATGATTGGACACTATCATTGAACTCGGAACACTGTAGCAAGCGCTTTGGGTGACCGTTGGTCATGTAAAATGCGCTTTAATAATTTATGAAACATTACTTACTACAACTATCACTTACTGTACAGTAACACACCTACCACACACACCAGAACCATCACCGACAACAACCCACAGGCTCAAACACGTCTCCGTACCCTACTGTTATGGCGCTTGTGCATCTGAGGCCACTCAACACGAAATAGGGGAGACGAGGGCGGACATTAAAGTGCTTCAAAAGTATATTTAATTGAGAACGGAATAACAAATATTAATATATACAAAAAGGTAAATATGGGGTGTGTTATGTAGAAGTCAGTGGTGTAGGTGCAGGTAATGCTTGTGTGCAGTGAGGGCGCCGTATGTGCGATATGAATGTAGGTGCATAAACCAAAAGACAAACTCAATAGTGCATGTTGAAGGAGAGCCAGGGAGGAGATGCAACAGGCACCAGGGCAGGAGTGGAATGGCCCTCAGGAGCGCGCAGAGAGAGCGCGTGCACCTATCCTCCAGGCTATATGCGCGTGCGCTGATTGCGTGCGCGAACACGCCCACTGCTTCAGCGCCAACTGGTCCCCCTGTGCACACAGGAGACAGGAGCGGCAGGACGGGGACACAGGAAAAGACCCAGGCCCCCCAGGCCTAGCCCGAACACCCCCCCCCCACCCCCCCTAACAACACATTTCAAAGGCAGCATGGAATAACGTTGTGTTAAAGAGATCCTTGTGCACGATCCTTGAGCAGTAACAAAATAGAATGCGTAGGTTTCCTCTGGGTGCTACGGTTTCCTCTACCTCTTAAAACATGACATAATAGGTCTGAATGTAACGAGTGAATGGGTGGCGTTTGGTCGGATAAGGCCTTTGAAGGATGCCAGTGTGCCGGGACGTCTCGCTTCTTTTCATCTCACCGGTGGAGAGGAACGGGGAAATATCTAAAACTCTGAAACCTTTTAAAGTGCTTTGCTGACCTTGGTCTGTAAGATGTGCTATATGAATAAACATTACTTACTTACTTGCAATTAACAAAAAGATGCATGATATACATGTCTTTCTGCCAATAGTTAAAATCTTGTTTGTGGGTATTATTTACTAGACACTTCTATTTACACACTGCCTCTATAGTTACCACGACACCCATAGACTCAAAACCAGTGTAAGTAAGTTAGTGCTTACTTAAAACTTATATTTGTCATACAGCAGAACAAAACAAACGAGATACAGAGGTTTGATTTGAAAAATATAGTTTGAAAAGTGGATTGGACGATGCAAATGCTACGATATCAAAACTAGTGTCCTGAAACAGCTAATCCCTTTGTTAAATCCAGTGCAGTGAAAGTGTGCGTGTGTCATCCAGATTACACGGCTTGGCTCTTCAAAAACCCACCGCATTCAACCACCACAATTTAACCCATTATCCGCCACGATAAGGCCGCCCTGTAGGTTGATATTGTCCAGAGATAGTGAGATTCTCAGGCTCTTTTATGGCTCATTTCTCCTCCGCTCACAGATTAGCTGCTTTGGAGTTCCCGTTCAGGACTAATGCAGTGACTCAGAGGCCACACCAGAGCCACAAGAGAAGCGTTTGATCAGAAAATAGAAACATTTTGGGTCATTTTGCATCATCAGTGGTGCGCCGAGCTTAAGTACGAAAGTTCAGAGATGCTATTGAAGTGACCAACCACCGGCATTATATATAAATGGATTGCTTTCTTGTTAGCGCGGGTTAGAGCATTTGCAAACGTATTGTTTTAATGAGACAAATATCTGCAGGTGGTTGTTACATTATACACAAACCAAAGGACCCAGTGTGTTTTAGAATGTTTTAAATTCTAAACTGTGCTTTATAACTACGGTATAACAAACATATTGTGAAAAGTGTTAGTGCTACAGGTTCAGAACGTAAATATGACATTCTTTCTTTCCCATAATTCCTGTGAATGTTCTTTAATCTTTTCATATCTTTTGACCAATGCCAGTTTTTATTGTTGGTTTTCTAATCTGCTGTTGGCAAATCAAGTGTGTGAAGTTGTTTGATGTGTGTATTGCTACACTATACTAAAATTGCTTTATTTCAAAACTAAACTGATAAGTGTATTTTTTAACATAAATCATAAAAAACATTAGGGTGTATGCTATACTGATATAGATAAACAATAGTTCAACAATTGCTCAAAGAATCTTATCTTTGTTTGATTTTTTCCCCAACTTTATTTAAGTTTTGGTTTTTGATGAATCATGTCTGATTTTTGATACTTTGGGAAACCCTACAATCCACGCATATGGACTAAAAATCTGTATAAATGTGTTTCTGTGAGGACTTCTTCTTTACCGAGATAATCCATTCCATCTCACCGGTGGTGACATAACTGCAAAAATGATGAAAGTGATGAAAAAAAGTAAAACATTTCTCAATTTTGGCAAAATTTTTCTTAATTTCAGCACATTCTGACTGCCCTGAAACAAGATTTGCTAATTCGGGCTGCACAGTGGCTGAGTGGATAGCACTCTTGCTTCTTAGCAAGAAGGTCCTGGGTTCGAATCCCGATCAGAACAGGGCCTTTCTGGGTGGAGTTTGTGTAGGTTTCCTCTGGGTACTCCTGTTTCCCCTACCACTAAAAACATGTACAATAGGTCTGGCATGCGCCTCCTGTACTGGCCCCGCTCCCATCTCTGTGTGGAGTGCGAGACAAATGCCCACAATTGTAAACTGCTTCGCGACTCTGGTCTGTGAAAGGCGGTATATAAATAAAGATTACTTACTTACTTACTTAATTGGAAAAACAAAATAATCTTATTCTTAAAAGAATAAAAATAAATTACTCCCCTGAAATAACAATGAATGGCTTTGTCCTATCGGCAATTGAAAATCAGAGGCAAGTTTGAATGTGCTCAAATTAAAGGAATAGTTCACCGTTTTTACATAAGAACATATGTCAGTATGTAAAAACGGTGAACTATTCCTTTAAGACAACAAAAAGTCGATTTTAGCAATTATTACCTCATATTTTATCATTTTTTGCTGTGAAGGCTTTGAATCGAGTATTGCAGATTTGATGCGATAATTGGAGCATCATGTGTACACTGGTTCAACTTTATTTTTACTCACAATTAACACACATGCACACTAGGGGTGTAAATCGCGAGTTTTGTCACGATACGATATCATATCGATACAAAGAACCACGATACGATATTTGCCGATATCTTAAAGTCTGCTGTGATTCATTCACGATACATCACGATATAGTGCTCCACGATCGATATATAATATCCTGATTTATAACAATTCATACACAATCAACAAGGTACTGCAAACTCTTTATTTAGGCAATTAGAGTATTGTAGTATACAAAGTGCTTATTGTAATACTGAACTTTTATTTCCCATGTAAGTAAAGTACAATGAACTCTTTTTTTTTTTTGTAATACCATTCAACTTTAAAGTGCATTACTGAACTATTTCATTACAAAACAAAAATGTAGTAAACATTACACTTTGACCATATCCAAATGCAAAAATAAATAAACCAGAGCAATAACGGAGAACTATAAATAAATGTATGGTGTTATTTAACTCTTCTACATAACAAAAATAACTTAATATATAACTCTTTATAGAGAATTTCAACATTACACCTTGTCTACTCTGAACTGTTCAATATGGCCAATAATACAACATGTAGTGCAAAATCAAAAGTAGTTTGTCACATGTTTGTTTAGTCCATTGAAAGATGTGATATTGCTTTCTTTGTTAGGTTCTTCTTCAAGAAAATCAACTGATCGACATGCTCAGGTGTCAAAACACTCCGTTCTGAGCGGACAATGTCACCTGCAGTGCTAAATACACGCTCGGAGGGCACGCTTGTAGCAGGAATACAGAGATAGATTTTGGCTAGATTTGCAAGGAGGGGAAACTCCATTTCATGACTTCCCCACCATTCTAACAGATTACCTTTGAGTGTTAATAATTCAGTCTCTTTATATTTATTTACTTCCATCTCTGCCCGCTGCTTGGATGTTTTCGTAAAGCTGCTGCTCACAGTGGTGTATGTGTCCCCAAACAGGTCCTCCATTGCTTTGGTTTTTTTTGCGACAGGAACGTATTCTAAAATGACACAAAAACACAAACATTGTTTTAGGGCTCAGGTTAATAATAGTTATGCAGAACACTAAGAAAACACACACCTGAAGCATGGAGCTCATGATCACATGCCTCTTCAGATGGGTGTGGTGTGTGAGTTTCCTCCATCGCAGTGCCATCATGAGCCTGTGTGTCTTCCTATGAACCAAAAAAAGATGTGCATTGTTAATAATTATCTTGTAATACATTCATCATGTGCTAGTATTTAATCTTACTTACTTTTTGGTCCCACAGCTGTGTAGCCTCATTTATGATATTCTTGAATGTGGCATCCCTCTCCTCTTCACACAGAAAGGGCAGGGTCTTGAATCTTGCATCAAGGGCAGCTGCAGTGTTTAATACTTCTCGGACATCTGTGTAACGATGCTGAAGCTCTTTGGCCATTGTTTGTTTCATTTCTTTGATCAGTGGCATGTCATCCTCACAGACACTGAAATGTTCAATCAACTTACTTTTAAGTGGAGCAATGACTGAGATAGTTGGTTGTGCCTCCTCACACATTATTGTAGTTGCAGTTTTCACAGGCCTCAGTAACTGTATCATTTCTTCAGCTGTGGATATGTCATTTTCATTTAGTGTTTGTAAATCATCCTTCATGGACTTTCTGATTTTTTGGTCAAGGAGTGTAGCACACACAGCAGCCTGTTGATCCAAAAAACGCTCAAGCATATCAAATGAGCTGTTCCAACGTGTGATGACATCTTGGATGAGTTTGTGTGATGGGAGATCAAGTAGTTTCTGTTTATCTTTTAACACTGCATTGGCCAGCGTGCTGCGGTGAAAAAAACTCACAACACGACGTACTCTACCCAAAAGACGGGCAGCACCATTGCATTTGAGTCCTTTTTGAGTTGCCAAGTTGATAGTATGTCCAAAACATTTTATGTGCGGTGACAGATGCGCCTCTCTTCCTGCTACGGTCATGTTGCTGGCATTGTCAGTTACAAGAGCTGGGTTTTTATCTGCAATGTGCCATTCTTCACATGCTTCGTTTAGGACAGAGGCTAGGTTCGCTCCTGTGTGAGAGTCATTTAAAACACGAGTCTGAAGCACGTAGTTTTTTAGCGTCCATGATGTATCAACGTAGTGGCAAGTGACCGTAATGTAGGCTTCAGTTGAGCAAGAAGTCCACCCATCTGTAGTGATAGCAACCCGTTCTGCTTCCTTTAGTTCGCGTAATACCTCCGCTTTAGCACGGGTGTATAGACGTGGTACAAATGTTTCACTAAAGTACTGTCTCGATGGTACTTTATATCTGGGCTCTAGCGTATTCATCAACTGGGAAAATCCCTCACCCTCCACGCTACTAAATGGCCTCAAGTCTTTACAAATATAATATGAAATTGCAGCAGTGATGGATGTAGCTCGTTTAGAGTTTTTACTTAGCATTTGGGGAAAAAATTTGCTCACGGAGGGCGTCGTGTCCGTGTTGTTTTCGCTGCCACTGCTTGAGGGAGAGATGTCGTGTTTTTTCTTTAAATGTGCGGCGAGATTTGTGGTGTTCCCCGAGTATTTGACCACAGCATGGCAGAATTTACAAACCACACGTGTCTTGTCCGTTGAGCCATTTTTTCTTTGGAATCCAAAGTGCTTCCAAACGAATGACTTGAAGCCCAAAGGGGAGCAAATTTCCTCGTCTTCTTGGACATTAGCCATAGCACCCGCCCAGGAGCTGCGTGCCTGCTATGTATAGACGGCGTGTGAGCCTCACAACACGCCGCGCCGCGCACTGCTCCCGGAAAGAGGAAGCAGGCAACAATGAACTGGATATCAAAATAAAGTCGCGTCTAATCTCCTAGGTCAAAAACGGCCGATATATATCGATGTTTACGTTTAGCATCGATGCCAACAAATCGTAGAGCATTATATCGATTAATCGATGTGTATCGATTAATCGTTACACCCCTAATGCACACATAAGTCGACAGCCACACAGACACAAGGTGAACCAGTTTAGTTTAAAGTCCCACGTGAATGATTGGACAGGTACAAGTGAGACGCCCTGTCGAGTTGCCTTTTGAAGCGTGTGTTTGATTTGTTTTAAAGTGATGTCTGGGCTTAATGTGCTGCAGTGGGATTTGTTTGTGTGCTCAGTAATTGCTCTGGCTTTAACTCTCCCTTAGTACATTTTCTTTGAACTGAATACAACACAGAAAACTCACCCGACTCCCGCTTATACCAGTAAGTGTGGCTTAATTGTCATCAGATTAGGATTTCCCCTTGTTTCCATACAGACGACTGACCACTCTGGCTTTTTCAGTCGTTATGTTTGGTCTGGATTGGTCAGACTGGGTATAGAATGCAAAGTTAAGCCTATCGTTCCAATATATTGTTATTGAATGTGAATTTTATTAGACATATGGTGCAAATAAGTTATAATAAAGTAGAAAATGCATAAAAAACATGCATTACAAAAAAAAAAACATTATGCAATTTGAATATATAAATACACACATAGGACATTTAACGGTGCAGTTTGTCAATAAGTAAGACATATTTCTTGATTTGGAATGGATCACCGCTATTTGTCAACAAAAAAGTCTATTTCACAGCTTGTATAAACATCCATACAATTGCAAAAAGGTGAAAAGAAAATACCACCTATTGTGTGTTTTCCACTTTTGGGAAAACACACAATACTCCATCATATAACTATTGTCAGAATGTACGTTAAAGGACCACATGCCTCCACTGCTGCTAACATGTACAGGTGTACACAACTTTTGCACTAGAATATTCAGTATTTAATGCCAAAGTTAGAGATTTTTACTTCTTCATTATGCCAACGATAGAGATGTACACTGCTCCTTGTTTAGGCTAAAGTTAGAGATTGTGATATTATTTTATTATAGAGTTTTTGTTCTTTGATCTTGTTCTGTTTGATCTTGTTCAATTTTTGATGCAGCAATGAAATGTCTCCACTTTGAGATGAATAAGGGATCACATTATTACAGTATTATACACATTATTTTTATTTTTTTTACATGAAATTTCAGAGAGACGTATGTTTTTTGGAACTTCATATATAAATTTGCAGGTAAAAAAATAGTTTTTAGCTGCACACTATAATTACACTAAACTGAATGTACATTACAGCCTACATCATTAATAGATAAAAAGCTAAAAGACACATTCACTGCAGACTTCTACACCTCATTCAAACATCAACTTTGGTCATTGATATTTATTACTACAATTGGCATCTGTCGTTTTGCGTTTTCTGTTATTTCTTTTGAGCCGGGGTTTGACAGTGGTCTATGTACTTCGACTTCTAAACATGCATTTTTTCAGGAAATGCTTGTTGTTTGCTTTTGCTCACATCACAGAACTTGTGATGTTATTGGACCCCAGTGCAGGATTAGGAGTTAAAGGCAGCAGGCCTGGTCTAACCTTGGCTTGCTTTTGTAAAGTAGAAAAGCGGTTTTAAATTAGATGAGGAATAGATCTTGCATTGAAGGATGGGTCACGTGTGATCACAACCATCCATCCATCCATCTAGCTATCCATCAATCTATCTGTGATCAGTGCCACCTCTCCATAGACCTGACTCAAAACTGGACCTGTTAGTGTCAACTTCCATGGAAGTTACTGTACTTTACTGTATGGAAATGCAGGTTCCAAACGCATATAGATTCCAAGTTGTAATTGGGTAATAGTAGGAGTAGATAGATAAATACATAGATAGATAGTAGGGCTGGGCGATTAATCGATTTTAATCATTAATTCGAGTTTTACGTTTAGGGCGATTTCTTTTTTTAAAAATTCGATTTTTATTTTCTCCAGCGCAGAACTACAGCGCTAACGCGCTAACCGCGGGTCTATGGTGTTGAGCAGTCATTTTGAAGCGAACCTAATGCTAACAGTCTCCCTCTGGCCTGATGCTCGCTCTCACAGTTGGTGCTGTTGCAATAACACTTCAAACGTTCAAGAATAAGACTTTATTTAATCGCCAAAACACACACACACACGCTCGCAGGCTCCGGTCGCTATGTTCGTACGCCATGTTCGTACGCCACATCTTTCACGCTCTCTCACGCTCGTTATTCCAAAGCGCACTCCCGTGTCCGTGGCGCGCACACACTCGTGTCCCACTGAGCCGCTGCACTTTGGGGAAAGACACGTCTCACACATTGCTCTCATTGCTCTGATACAAACAACGTGTTCCCCGCTGTCTGTTAGCTACAGTAGCTGCTACAGTAGCTGTTAGCTACAGTAGCTGCTACAGTAGCTGTTAGCTACAGTAGCTGTTAGCTACAGTAGCTGTTAGCTACAGTAGCAGCTACAGTAGCTGTTAGCTACAGTAGCTGCTACAGTAGCTGCTACAGTAGCTGCTACAGTAGCTGTTAGCTACAGTAGCTGCTACAGTAGCTGCTACAGTAGCTGTTAGCTACAGTAGCTGCTACAGTAGCTGTTAGCTACAGTAGCTGTTAGCTACAGTAGCTGCTACAGTAGCTGTTAGCTACAGCATCAGAATGTAAACAGGAAGCTCGCACAATGCGGGAGTCACTGAAGTTAGTATTAGCGCCACCAGTTGGACCGAGCGTTGTACTACAGCACAGTTACTCAGGCACAGTTGAAAGAACAAGCATGAAAACCCGAGGAGGCTTTTGGAAAAGACTGTCTGTTACAACATTTCTATTTTGAGTAATCAGTTTTAAAAATGTGATATTTCATGTAAATAATGCATACTGTGTTTAATAGGATTGATATATTTGCGATGGGCCTTGTTTGTGTGATTTAAGTTATTTTGAAGGTGCATAGTGTCATTGTAAGTGAAGTTATTATAAAACTGTTAAGCTACATTTTCACTGTTTACAATGGCAGAGCCATCTCGTTTACAAGCATGTTTTAAGGCTTAATTCCTGTTACACTTATGCTCCATGGGGATTTAGATTAAACTGCATAAAGGAAAATCTATTTCTTTGTCAGTTGTAGTTTGTTTTTAAATAAAAAAAAATAAATCGATTAAAATCAAAAATCGGATTTGGTGTGAAAAAATCGGAGATTTTTTTTTTTTGCCATATCGCCCAGCCCTAATAGATAGATACACATCCATCCATACAAACAAATACACACATCATTCTAAAAGTGACTAAAAATAGTAGGAATAGGAGTAATAGTAGTAGCAGTAGTTGTCATAGCAGCAGTAGTAGCAGTTGTAGTAGTAGCAGTAGCAGTTGTAGCAGCAGTTGTAGCAGTAGTAGTATCAGTAGTAGTTGCAGCAGCAGCAGTAGTGGTTAGATCTTGTGCCTCACAGCAAGAAGCTCCTGGGTTTTTGATTCCACCTCCTTTTTGTGAGGAGTTTGCATGTTCTCCCCGTGTCTACATAGGTTATCTCTGGGTGCTCCGGTTTCCCCTACCACTAAAAACATGTATTAGGTCCG